CACCAGTTGTTTGTCTCCATGGAGATTTTATTGCTTTGCTTGGCATATTCCACGCTATGGCATTAAACTTATTCATTTTTGCATTTGTTTAGTTACTCAAAAAGTACCTCCACAGATCTGACCTGTAACCTGTAAGTTTAATGCCATACTATGCAACATTCCTGGTAAAGCAATAACATCTCCACAGAGTAAACAGGTGGCATATACTGCATCAGAAAAGTTCCATAGTGCACCTTTAACGGGACCGTGACACATCACATTTAAATGGTACTGAGTCTTCTTCTGGTACTCTTTTTTTTTTTTTTGTATCACCACTTAAAAAAACAACAACAACAACAACAAAACAAACAAACAAAACAAGATACTCCGCCCAAAATATAGATGTTAACAAGCAAATAAGTAAATTGAAATAAAACAATAATAAATCTAAATTCTGTTCTCATGTAATTTCTTGACTATTTCAGCAGTTCTGTTTCTCTGTGTCTATATTTTCTTCACATTTTCCAGTACTAAATGCGAAGCTTTGATCGGATTACATCTTATTACATCTCTGATTTGCATTTGGTGATGTCACTGGCACACCGGTATCTGAAATCTCCTAAGATCCAAACAAGCTCTGCGGCAGATGCAGAAGATGACTGGATGAGAGTTCTGTTGTGATTAGAAACATGATTGGCTCCTCCAAACTCCTCAAAGCAGAAACCTTCTTTTATTTGGTTTAAAGCCTTAGTTGCCACATTTACATGACAGCTTTAATTACAAATAAAAATAATTGAATTCTGAATAAAAATTATTTCCGCTTTAAAAAGACCATGTAAACACTTAATTCCTAATGAAAATGATTATTTGAAATAAAACTTAATTCCGAAGTAAGTGGCTGGTTTATTCTCATTTTAAAACTGAATACATTTAGTCCTGGATCATTTAAACTTTTATTCTTCTGAAAAATAATCCCGGTCGTTCAGTGCATGCTCGTTGGGTCGTTCTTCTGACGCGATCCAGATGATCCGGCTCCACCAGTCCTGGCTTTGGACTTTCATCCACGTCTCTTTGGATTTGTGAGCGGGATGTGGGAGTGGGCTGAGGTGGAGCAGCCTCACACTCACTTTGTCTTCTTCCTCCTTCTCCGACACTCTTCCCTTCTCCTCCTCAGCTGACAGACGTAAAGCGTGATGACAGAATTCTCCAGCTGCTGCACAGTTATCATTGGAACGACTGTGAAAAAAGTTTGGATCATGTTTGTGTTCGTGGCGTAACGACAAACCGGGATGACAGAAAAGTCATAGCAGCTGAAGTGTGTGTTTTCTTCCGATCGACGTAAATATGTTGGTGTCTGCAAACAACCACAGTTATTTCCTGGGATTTCCTGGGAAATGAGTCAACTTGTCAAATATTAAACACTAATCAGAACCCTTTCCCACCTCCAGACGCTGAGCCGAATTAAATAAAGATGATTTATAACGTGTTTTCCATGTAAATTTCAATTTGGAGTTGTTATTTCCATGTAAACTCAAAGGAGAATATTTGAATTTCAGTTCAATTCAGAACAGTTAATTTGGAATTAAAAAAAACAACAACATGTAAACGTGGCAGTTGTGACCAAAATGGCCGAGCATGTTTTCCACTTATGTCCATTGAATATATCAGTAGTTATAGGCCTACACCTTTTACACGTGTGAGAATTAAATGGGGATTTCAGATTAATTTTATTTCGCAATTCTAAACGAACACGAGAACTACTCCACCGACATGAGGCGTGACTTGTGAAGTGTCCGGCTTGGCTTCAGAGGTTTTTGCACTATAATGTTCTCACGATACTAACATAATAAATGTTCATTTCTGTCCTGTGAATATGACTTTTTTTGATTATCGATCCCTGCTCAAATGAGGATCTAGTTTTAATACTAGTTTTAGCTTTTCTGATCAAACAAGCCTAATGACAACTGACAAGCTCAACATATAGAAAAGTCAACAGGAAAAAAAAAATCTAAAGATCTATAACACTAATGCAGATGGAGTTGGAAATCTTGGATAGAAAATGAACTGTCAGAAATAATCAAAGTAAACATAAGTCGCCAGCATGTCTCTGGACCTCAGATGCATTTGCCGTGCCCTCCCCTCTCTCATGTTCTTGTGTAACGCGACCTCAGCGCAGACAGACTATACATCAGATTTAATACAACTATGTGGGTTGCCTCCATTTGCAAAACAGGCTCTGATTTCTCCTCAAGGTCCAGGACTTCTGCATCATCTTCACAGTGAAAGTCGTGAACACTGCAAAAAAGGTGAGTGACGTGAGTTAAAATGAATTGAATTAGAATCTTAATCAAAGTCGTTTTTACTCATTATGTTCGGCTAATTTGACTTTTTTGAGATAAAGGTGCAGTTAGTAGCTTTTCTGTTGGATCATCTGCCACCAACTCAATGCTTTGCCAAGAATATTCCACAGTATGACTTAAAATGTATCTGTCTCCATGGAGAAAAGAGTTAGAGGTCAGATCTTTCACAGTAAAAATTAAAGTTTAAATGTTTTTTAGCAATAGTATAAATAAAAGATAAAAGTTAAATGCAATCGTGTGGAACGTCGAGCAAAGTAAAAGCATCTCCATAGAGACAAGACGATGGCAGTCCTCCCCCGCTGAAGTTACACAGTGCACCTTTAGATAATAAATCACGTTTTACTTTGTATTACTTTCAAAAGATTTTCAAAGAACACTTCACTTCTATGGCCACAGCTGCTATTCCAGCCAACTCCCTCCGAGCCCTCCTGATCACTCACGCCACATTCACAGAGGCAAGGGGACTGAAGACTACGGCGCATCATTTGCCCCAATGTCAGAAATTCACCAATTTTGAAATGTGACAATACAAATTAAAAGAAAATCTGTGAAATATTATCTCAAACGAAATAACATCTACTGGGTCCACCAAGCCTCTTAAAGGGATAGTTCGGATTTTTTGACATAAATCTGTATGACATCCTCGTGAGCAGTGTCGTGCATCCACACTGACTTATCACCGACAGCGTCCGGTGAGCCGAGATACTGGCCGTTTTCTGTGCTGAGGAAAGTAGTCCTGCAAGTTGACTGGGGACATGCTGCGTTTTTCTTCTAAAAACAATCTGTGTTCAAAAGAATGATACATTTGCATCACAAAACCATCGTCCTCAAAAAAGTCAGATATCATAATCTCCTGGCACTATTTTCTCTCCGTTCGTATCACTGCGCGCTGCCGCCAGGTGACAGCCGCGCCTGGTTCACTTTGTTTACTGCTCGGAATGTTAGCGACAACATGTCTGATTACGACACCGACAATAAACACATTGCCTTTACCACAAAGCCAAGGGGAGATCTTTATGAACCCGAATATACTGATGTCAAAATTCGTCAGATGGAGTTAGAACGAGCAGAGAGAGAAGAGAGACAGAGAAGTGGTACAAGTTGAAGCTGGAGCCGTGAGAGACCGAGTGAGCGACAATCACCATCACGTCATTTAGAAACTACATATATATATATATACAGCGAACATAGAGCCTCCACTGTGACTGAAGCATGGACGACTAATAGAAACATGGAATCATCCACACGTCCACGTAGCTGCTGCCAATAGTGTACGTGACATTTACAACAGTAATAACAGTCGACTTATAAGTTACGTTTTGTAGAAGCTTCACTGGTGATATGACACTGAGTGATTTACTGCACACAGAGTTACAGCTGATTCTTGAACCTGTTCTCTTGTAAACATAGCGGCAACTCTTTGTTTTTACCTGGTTTGGTTTCCACATTGAAGCCAAAGGCAAGAAGCCAAAGTTTCCTCAGCACAATGTCCGTGACAGGAAAACGGTGACATGTGTGCAGAGATTCAGCCAGATTTTCATTGTTACAGCCTGGATAATCAAGAGTCTGCACCATTTTTTAGATATATTCTTATATATCTTATACAAGCTTATATACTTATGGCTCTAGCTCTCACGTTAGCTCTCTCACGTCACGGCGGTCTGCGAATGTAAACACTGCCGAACAACTGAAGAAAGTGATGGATTCGTGCGCGGCTGTCACCTGGTGGCAGCGCGCAGTGATACGAACGGAGAGAAAATAGTGCCAAGTGATAATGAGGTCTGACTTTTTAGGTGACGATGGTTTCGTCATGCAAACATATCACTCTTTTGAACATAGATTGTTTTGAGAAGAAAAACGCTTTGTTTTACTGTCCCCAGCCAACTTGCCGGACTACTTTCATCAGCACCGAAAACGGCCAGTATCTCGGTTCACCAGACGCTGTCGGGAGTAAGTCAGTGTGGATGCACGACACTGCTCAAGGGAATGCCATACAGATTCAAAAAATCCAAACTATCCCTGTAAATTCCATCCCGTCCATAAGGCTTTACTTTAAAAATAATCCATTTAGGGCCGTGGTGTCAATGAAAGTTGAATGTAAATGTTGCTGTTCCGCATATCTTTATCTTCATAATGTTCTAAGATATGATCATTTTGTCAAGCTACTCAGTGTTTTTTCATAATTATCCAATAGCCAAAGCTGAAATTATCACAGAATTATCACAAAGGCCAAAGATGAAATGAGAGATATAAAGTTTGTTCTTTCTGTAGTGATCACAGACAGTGTAAAAAAAGTGGAGTAAGTGAGTGTGACGTCACCAGAGCGTCCCAATGACAGGTACGGCTCAGGGTCTGGTAAACCCAAGTTTCCAGAAAGGATAAGGATGTTATTAAAGAAAAACAGATTTTTCAGCTCAGATTTAAGGCTTCTGCAGGCGCTACACTTCAGAGGCTTAGTGGACCCAGTAAAAATCAATAGAATTTCATGAAATTTCTCACAGAAGTTTACTTTCGCAAATGTAAAAAACTGATACAGATTTTCAAAAATTCTTCAAAAAGTTGGACAAATGATGCAGCCTACTAAACAGTCTTGCCAAAGGACACAACAACACTATCAAGTAGTAGAAGTTGGAGCAAAAATGAAACCACCAAACTGTATTCTGTTTAACATGAAATTTTCTTCAACCATCAGATATCGTAAAAAAAAGCTAAAAAGTCAAATAATCCATCATATTTGAATAAGTAGGTCAAAATATCAAGTCATTTTAAGTCATGTCGTCTGGTAGAAGCCACAGGTCGTTGACGAATGGTGCAAGGTTCCATGATGAGCTTTTTAATACTGATATCAAGTTCCAGTAAAAAAAAAATCCATGTTTTTTTGTTTGTTTGTTTTTTCATTAGTCTTGGACAGACTGCGCTCTGGTAACATGTTGCCACATTTTTTTTAAATTAATTCATTTTTTTTATAAAAGTCACAGACACACTGCGTTCTGGTTGCAGTAGTCTTTAAAAAACACCACGTTGGACAGTTAGCTAGTTACATTTTTCTCTAAAGTGTGTTCTGGTTCTTGTAGTCTTTAGAAACTAGCATGTCCAACAGTTTTATGGCTGCTCGCCGTAGTTACCATCTTGACACGCTTTTTTCTTCAAAGTTTAAAAAACACGGACATACAGCACTCTGTTTTTTGTAGTCTTTCCAAAACACCACATCCGACAGTTAGCTTGTCACATTTTTCTCTTCTCTGCGTTCTGGTACTTGTAGTCTTTAGACACGAGCACGTCTGACACTTCGCTCATTTGGGTGCTGCCAACTTGTCACGTTCTTTCTCCAAAGTTTCAAAATCACGGACATACAGCATTGTGTTTTTTGTAGTTTTGCTGGAGCAGTCACACGGCTGTGGTCTGCTTGATGCTGTGGAAGCTGATCCTGGTGGGGGAGGTGGGGATGGACATGGCCCGGGCCACTCGCACTCGGAGCGCGTGGTTGTCTTGCCAACGGTGCCACCTTTTCCTGACCGCAGAGCGCACCTGGACACAGAGACAGTGTTAGAATGAGGACAGAACAAGTTTGGACACTGTCAAATATAAATGTTCAAGAATATAAACCCTTCAATAACATTTGGTATCAGTTCAGTAGCTACAGTTTGTGTGAAAAAATGTTGAGAAGAAAAGTACGAAAATACAGGAAGTAGCGCTAAGTTCGAAAATTACATCCAAAATGCAGCAGGGACAATACAAGCAAGGGACATGTTTTTGGCAGTTTCAACTTTAATTTGACAAAGACGTTCCTTCATGTTTATTACACTGCAATCCCAAACGTTCAAAGTAATTAAATACATTAAGTTGTACATACTCAGAGTTTTAGAAATTATGTCAAGTTGCTGTAACATGTTTGTCTTTTTGAGTGATTTTAACTTTTTTTTTTTTTTTTATTGAAGGGAACTATTGTAGGTATAAGTGAGCATAACTTAAAAACATAGATGAGATACACCTTAGTAGAATTAAGTAATAATAAAAAAAAAAGTATAACATGTATAATGTACTGTGTGTGTACTATAATGTGTAATGTATGTAAGTATGTATTATTAAACTATATAAATATTATATAATATTGATTAGACAAGTAAATCCCCTGATTTTTACGTGGGGAACCTGGGTTTAAATCCCCTTCCTAGTTAAATCACAATGTTTCTGCAGTTTATATCATTTTAACCCTTTTTTTTATTTTTATTTTTTTAATATCTGAGTTAGTCTGAGCAGTAGCTCAGGGCGGCAGTAGCTCAGTTGATAGCACGTTCGTTCACTGATGTGGAGGTTGGCGGTCTGGATCCCAGTCTCGACATAAACACGGGTTGAGTGGTCAGATCCACTGACCCACAGGTTGGCTGGTGTGAATCCAGCACTCACAGATGAATGCTGTCGTTGTGTCCTTGGACAAGACACTTATGAGTGTGGGTGGGTGAGTGGTTCCTTGTAAAGTCTGAGTGCCTTGAAGGTGGAAAAGCGTTACAGAAAAATGTGACCATTTACAGTAGTCTGAGTAATCATGCACTAATCCCCCACTAACGTCAGCTCTGTTTGAATTTTATGACTTTTGTGTGATATAACAGTTGACATTTTAAAATGCAACAGGATCTATCCAGATGATATAACGCAATAATTTAAGTTGTACTATGTAACTTTTCTGCCTAGAAAGGTATAACATATGATGCTTTTATCTTATTATAGTTGTTGGAACATTCCAGGCAATGAAATAACAAGCAGGACCCTCCACCAGAAAAGTTACACAGAGCACCTTTAATGTGTAAGTACAGACAAACGTGTGGCACTGGGACTGAATGACAGTGAAAAGAGTGAGAGATAACAGCAACGTCTGACCCATCACTTGTGCGCTGAATAAGAAGTTTGATATTTAGACTATAATCCCTGAATACATTCATTAAATTCTCTGTGCCAGTGTTTGGCGGACCAAGATTATTTTTAACACCAAGTAAACAACAAAAATACATTTTCATTTATTCCGACTCGTGGGATTTCAGCACTGTGTAGCCTTTAGCTTAAAGGTTATATGCTAATTTCCGACACAAATTGTAACATCAAATGAAACAGCCTCTTTCTGTGTTTTTACACCGGGCCAGTCACCAAAATGATCTTGATTCTTCATTGTACAGCTAACAATCACATGCCTGCTTTATCTGGGTAAAAGAGTCTAATCCCTCACAGATTCAGACACTGAATATGTTTCACCAAGAAGCTTCTTCAGTTGTGACAGGATTCTACTTTTTGCTCGTCTTATATCTGATTGACAGGAGGAGCTCACTACACCAAACAGATACACAGTCAAAAGTCTCTGTTATTAGTTAAACATCACATATTGTGCTTGAGCCTGCTTTAAAGTTCAACTGTACAACACCTGTGGATCATTGTATTTTGATTTACACATTTTAAATTGCAATGGTTATCTAAAACTATTTAATTAAAGAAATAATTCGCAGACTACCACTTTAGAAAGATGCTGTACCAGTGGGAGCTGACGTCACCGTAATCATCATCATGAACAGAGTCGGTGTTACTGATTTGTTGGGGCCAGTGTGTACATGGCTCATATCGCACACGCCACAGAACAGCGCCCTCTGCAGGCACTTGTCTGCACTAAAGGAAAGCAGTGAGATGTTTATCTGTGACACATTGCGAGTATTTCGTGTCTCCACTAAAGTCAAGGCAAACAGGAGTAGCATGCATATATAATGAAGCAAAATGCACTCAAAAGAGACATGGACATGGATGGATTTAAAACAAAATATTAGGTTTATTAAAGATGAATCCTTTCAAGGCCACGCCCACATCGCTCCATGCATCACCACCAACAGACCCGTAACACGACAACTCAATGGATATTTGTACACACTAGCGAGCAGAAGATTAAAAAAAAATGTATTCGTACCAAAATTACTACACCACGTCCACTACACTTAGCACTGATAGAGAAAATAAAATTGTAGAACAAGTTCGTACGTCATAGTGGGCGTGTACTGGTGACGGTGAACACGGGGATTGATTGGCAATATGGCGTCTTGAAAATAAGTGATTAAAGATGATTCAAACATGCACAAATCACTTCAAATACAACTTCCAACAGGTAAATGAGGGAACAGAGGGAACAGCTATAACACGATTAAAGCTCCGAAAAGTCCATTTTGCAGAATAGGTGTCCTTTCAGTCCAATCAGTTACTCTAGGGTGTGAACTGTCACCTGAGTCATACACATCAAAACATGCTTTCCTGAGCCGCCGCCGTCCTGTTTATCTGAAGATTGTACAGGGCCCCCACTACTAATAATGCAAACTCACTTCAAAACAATATGTGACCGGGACTGAGACTAGGACTGAGACCGGTTTAGACCTGGTTTAGACCTGGTTTAGGCCTGGTTCAGTCCTGGTTCAGTCCGGCATCGCAGTTTAAGTCACAAAAACGGGAAACAGCTGTTATCCCTTTTTTCCAGTATTCATTTAAACACAAAATTGAAAAATGAAAAAAATGAATCTTTATCCGTTTTTTCATTTTGGTTTTGGAGACAAATAATGAAGAAAATAGTTGTTTTTTTCGTTTTCTTATTTTTGGTTTTATATTGAAAAACGAATGAACGAGTGATACATGGATTCATAATGCCCATGTGCTTAATTCAGTTTTCCTTTATGCTTGTTGTGTGGACAACATTGGAGGCCCCTCTGCAGTGCCTCAGAAGCCGCCCAGGGGATCCCACTTCAGGACTTACTGGTTTACACTGCTTTCATATGAAAACCTCATTAATTTGTTGACACCCAGGAAAACTCCCACCCTACAAATCTCCTATAAGCTATTAAGATACAAGAGCTGCCCAAAGCCTTATTAGCTACAAGCAAAAGGCCAAGTTCCATGATTCACACTGGAGTAATCCCTCTTAAACCATGTGTCCTCTCAGCTTCAATTACCCACCTCTCCAGCCCGCTTTCACATTATTCACACTGTCAGAGTCCACAAAAGTGCCCTTGACTCTCCTCAATTCCATGTAATTCTGCTAATAATCGTAATTACTTTGAAACTACTGGGCTTTTCTAATCTACTGGAAAAAGGGGCATGTGCAATTTACGTCCAATTAGCACTTACAGTGAGAGAACAGCTGGTTTGGAGAGTTCTTCAAAACTCACCATGGATTATGTTCTTGATATTGTTGCCCTGCAAGGGAATGTTCCACAGTGTGGGATTCAAGTGACATCTTGTATTCAGTATATATTCAGTGTATTCTTACTGAATGTGTCACCTATTCACAGATCTGACCTGTGACTAGTCTCCATACCATATTGTGAAAAACATTTTCTTGACCAATTATCAGGAAGGGAGCATCAGCATGCTAGTTTGCCATAGCAACAGAGTGGTTGGCTTCTCAAGTGGCTTTTACCCAACTATGAAGTGCAGCCTGTCTGACAAGTAAGAGGCTTTTGGATAGTCTGAGATGAGCTGTCTGTTTTTCCTGTATCCATGGAGACCGTTGTTGTGGGAAAAATTAGAGAGATCTTGAAGAAAAAAAAAAAAATCCATTTGCAAAGCCTGATGAGTTTTTGGAATACAGACCAAGGTTTATTCTTGTTACAGCAGATATGGAGAGGGCGTAGGCCACAGCCCAACCTCTCCTCACCAGCAGTATGTCCCGACTCCATTTGACCCGGAGTCTCACTCCAGAGCATTTGAGCTCTGAGTATTTATACAGAAATACAAGGTACATACATATCAAATCAGAGTGACACGTGTCTCACAGGCTGGTGATAAATTAACTTAACGTACATTTGAGGACAGATAAGACAACAAAAGGCTTCCTGAGTGACGACAGTTGTGTCTGCTGAACCTTTACACATGTTAATGACTGTTCTGGGTCTCAGAAATCACATTCATTTACACAAAGGCAGACTGAGAGAAATCTTTCCACAATATACATTTCCATCACACCGTGCTAGCTAAGGAGCTCGCTATGGACCTCTGAGATGCTACAACTTTTTACACCATATGTAGCAGCAAATGTGGCAGAACACTTTCTAGAGGAAATACTGTCAGATCATCCAGAGGAAATATTTAGAGGGAATGGCCCATGACTGAAACTACTGAGCGGGGGAAGAGTGAGGCTTTCACGTTGTGTTTACCTGGGGAGGGACACTTTTGTCCTGAGGGCTGCTTCTCCCCTCTCTCTCACTCTGCCCTGACACAGACCTGCTGACCCCACCTGCCCAGTCCTCCTGTTAATCCACACTGAGACCTTTGACTGAGACACAAAGGCCACTGAGACGCACACGTGTTTCTGCAGCTACACTTAAATTTCTCTCATGATCAATACACTGTTTCTCTCTCTAGTTGATAGTAGCTTTACTATGACCTCTGAAAGTTTTGAAAAACGCTTATAAACTCATTGCCGTGAATAATTAGGATGCACAAAAGGTAAGTGAGCAATAACTTTGGACCACTGCAAAAATTTGTCCTATTTTTAATGTTTTTATGGCACTAAAAATCAGGTACTGCATCTTTCTTGTGTGTATAATGGGTAGAGTTGCCAAATATCCAATTCAAGTAAGAGCAGTGATACTTTAGAATAATATCACCTCAGTAGAAGTCGATTTTTTAAATGCGCTATAAAAAACAAACACTAATGAAAGTCCAGAGCATTTCAGTGCCCCCTGCTGTCCTTGTACCCCGGTTAGAGAAACACTGATGCTCCGGGTCAGGACGGCTCCACTCCAGCTTCACAGAACACTGGACATAACACTCCACAGCTGCACTTTGTTTTGGCTCAGATTAAATTAAACTATTGCGGTGACATCATTTGACCTTTGAGTTTGAGAACGCTCATGGCCAAGATTAACATACTAATAACTTCTCTTTGGAAATTCAATGTTTGTAGTTCGGGGACGCAAACTCTGCAATTGGTTCATCAACTTTTGCACTGTGTACTTACTGCAAAACTAATTCTATATTACACAAAATTGACTCTTGTGAGCTTTAAACCATGTTAGAACTTTCTTACCAAATCAGAAACATACACTGAGTTGTGTTTTGTTTCAGTCACACATGTTTGAGTAACTCTTTATTATTAGTCTGTCTACATCTCCAAAGTGATCAGCTCCTTTTACCTTTTTCAGAAGAGATTGGCAAAACCAGGGCTGAAATTAAATGATTCTAGTGAAGGTGTATGGATTTAAAAAACACGGCGGAGGACATCTTGTACCACATGACAACACGGAACAGAGTGTTTTCTGTTTGAGAGAAGAACTCAGCCTAAATGTGCAGGGTTTGTGTGTTAAACCTGTGCGAATGAAACAAAACCCAACTCCAGGTCTGTTTGTGACGAGGAAACTACATTATACGAGCCTTTTAAGGAAGTCTAAAAAACACTATGGAAGTTGTAATGGGAAAATACCATTATAGCTTCTACGTGCAGTTATTCAGTTTTCATTGTGTCATTGTTTTTAGGGAGTAACCGCCCTTGTATAAGTTCTGGGGCATCACGACCCAGCACAAATTCAGATGTTTCCTTTCTTTGGTAATACTTGTTCAGACACTCTTGTATATGTTTTGTGAGTTGTTGATGCTGGTTCAGAAAGAGTTACAACCCTGTATTGAACAGACTTGTCCTCTGTCCTCTCTTTGCAAAGATTTTAAATAAACTTTTACTTTGTTGCTTAAAATGTTTACTATCTAAAAAAGATAATTTTCCATGACAAAGTACCGTAAATTCCGGACTATAAGCCGCTACTTTTTTCTCACACTTTGAACCCTGCAGCTTATAAAATGATGCAGGTAATATATGGATGGATTCTTTGTTTGGCACATTGTCCATTCATATATATGGTCTATGGTTTGGCAACACCGTGGATACGCGCGTGATACGAGTGCAGAAAACAGTCTGTGCGGTGACACATGGATCTAGGGTTCACATGAAGTTGCTGCACTTGCTCATGATATTGTTAGCTCACTCAAATAGTTTATCGCCGTGTGGTAAAATAAGTTATGATGCTAAATGTACATTAGTGAGGGGGATAGATCTTACTCGTATGTGGAAATGACGAGAAGAAACGTCTCAAACTTCAGTAGCCGGACATTCACTCATATCTGATTGATAGAACTAATCCCACCCCCGAGAGAGTCTGAAATCTGCTGAAATCCTCCAAGACACTGACATGATACAGACAGAACAGAGGCTCTTTCTGCAGGAGACATGAGCAGTAGAGCGCGGGGAGAGACGGGGGTGATATGCTGAGGAAGATACTCGTTTCATTGTGTTTTGAACAGTTATTTTGGGCTTCATACACACACCCTCCTCATGGAAAACACACGAACAAATACAGATGATGCAGCTTTTAAATTAACGGCGACTGATGTGACTGTGGAAGAAGAAAACAGAGCTGCTGCACGTGAACTCGTCATCAATGAACTGACTCAAAAAGATGACCAAAACTTTCAGAGGCAATAAAAGCAGACGACCCGAACTTGAAAACGTTCTTGAAGACGTGGACACCTGCGTCTTATATTCAGGTGCGGAGTACATATGCACAATTTTTAAAATTTTGTTAAAATTTAGTTCATGCAGCTTATATTCAGGTGCGCTCAACAGTCTGGAAAATATGGTATGTGGCGGCCTTTAATAATACAGTTTGATGTGATTCACTATGATTTTATGTATCTGTTCTGATCTAATTGGATGTTTCAGGCTGATCTTGCGGTAATTTTCGCGAATTTGCATGAAAGAAAAACAAAAATCCCACCATTTTAATCCAGGTTAAAAATGCACTGTAACATGTGTCACTGACATTTGTACTGAGTAAAATATATAGATTTTTTCTGTAATGCCTTACATTACTGTGTTACAAGCAAAAAGCAACGCATTACAGTAATTTCTTACTTTTGTTATGCGTTACTCCCAACACTTTGCATTACTATCTTGTATTATATTTAGTAATAATAATGCATTCATCTTATTACGCTTTCTCTTTCTTATTTTTTGTGCAAAACTCATAAATAACAAAACAAAACAAAAAAAAACTAATGTAAATTCCTTGCTTCTCCATTACCAATATCTCAATTCTTATAACTGGGACTTTTGTTCAGTTTGTCTGAGAATTAACACTCAGGCCAGATAAAACAGGTTTCTGGAAACTAATTTGAAAAGATGTTATGAAAAAATTCCAGTGACTCACCTCTCCATTGAGAAAGCAGTAAAAGACGGAGACAAAGAAGCCCTGTGGAGAGAGCCACATTTGGATTAGTCTAAGAGCTGATATTGTTACACCTACTTACAGCATGAGGCGTTAAGGTGTCTCGGAGCAGGTACGAGATATGAGTTGTTTTTGTTTTTCCTTACAGTTTTGGTGGTGGTTGTAATAGAGATGTGATCCCAGTTGTACGAGCTTGTTTCAAAAGGGGCATAATGGAAAATCAATGATGTAAAGACGCCAGTGGTTTTAACAAAGAAAGAAAAAGAAAAACGCAACTAACTTTAAACCTCCTTTTTTCTTGGGTCCAGCTCATAGTCTGTATAAATAAATGGAGATACAGTAGCTAACCTTGCAGCATTCCAAATAGGAAGTGAGCATGGGTGTGCTTCCAGCTCCATCGACTCTGGATCCAGTTCACTTTACGTTGAAAAACTATCACCACTCTCTGTCACTGCTGAATCTCTGTATCATACGTTCATTTGTTCATCAATATAAAACCACAAATAAGAGATCTTCATGATTTGTCTCCAAAACCAAAATGAAAAACAGATAATGATTTGTTTCTTCAGTTTTCGATTTTGTGTTTAAATGAATAATGAAAAAAAACGGTTAATGGCCCTTTCCCGTTTACGTGACTGCAATGCTGGACTGAACCAAGACTAAACCATTTTCAGTCCTGGTCTGGTCCCAGTCTTAGTCCCAGTGTCTGGTCCCGATCTGGTCCCAGACTCAGTCCTTGTCTGGTCCTGGTCTCAGTCTCGGTCTGGTTCCGGTCTGGTCCCGGACCTGGTGTAGTCCTGTTTTAGTCCTGGTTCAGTCCTGGTTTAGTCCTGGTTCAGTCCATGTGTGGCACAAAATCCGGCATTGCAGTTTAAGTCACAGAAACGGAGAGGGAGGCCGTTATCCGTTTTTTCCATTATTGATTTAAACACAAAATCAAAAACTGAAAAATCTAATCGTTACCTGTTTTTTCACTTTGGTTTTGAAGACAAATAATGAAGAAAATATTTTTTTCGTTTTCTTATTTTTGATTTTATATTGATAAACGAATGAATGATACACAGATTCTGCTGCCATGAGCCTCGTCATTTTGGTCTTAAAATGTTCGTATTAACCTGCTCGACATGAACTCTGTGTTTGTATTCCATGTTTTTGACAAATCAGGCACCTTATTTCCCAAGGGTTAGCGACACGTTTGATTTGATTGACAGCGTTGCTAAGCGCCCGCTCCCTGCTAAACCAGCGGTGCAGGTGGGAAGAGGCGTTACTTTCAACCACTTCACTATGGATTGGCTCTTTAGTTGCTCTGATACCTGTGGTTGAAATTACAAATATGGAACTCAGCCTCAAATCTGCAATGAGCTTCGTTTGACTGGAGCTGAACTCTAACGGAGTTTAGAAACATCACACTGGTTTATACAGTTTACGGTCCAGGTTTAATCAGTTCACCCCCAGCTCTTTAACACTTTCTTACTATTCCATTTTAATGAGTTGTTTTTAAAATACATTTTCCACTACAGCGACCAAGTAATTATTCAAATGGATTAAGTCCAAATTATCAAGACCTTTTGGATTCAATGGTGAATGAAATTGAAAACTGAGGAAAGTAATTGTAATTAAATTTTTCACTCCTCCACCACAATTTTACCCCTGTGAGCAACATTTCAACACAACTTTTCTGGGCACATTTTACAGTTCATAAAAAAATTCACTTTCAAATCCCAGTATATTATGAAAGTATTTTAACAACAACACATGAAAGATTCTTTTGCACAGTAAAGGCTAAATATACAGCTGAATCGCTGCATAACCTTTCTGGTGAAGAGTCGCAATCGGATGTTGTTGCATTGCCTGGAAGGTTCCATAGTATGACATTTAAAGGATCTATCGCCATGGAGACAAGCCGATCGTGCCACTAGGCCAAGTTACAGGTCAGGTAAAGTGCGGTCCCCAGTCAGTGTTGGGAAGGTTACTTTTAAAATGTAGTCCTGGTTTAGACTTGGTTTAGTTTCCGGCAATGAGTGGAATTACTCATTTCAAAAAAAGGGGGATATAGCCCAAAATGTGAAAACGGGAAAATACGGCTGTACAATCCATGTACTGTAATTGCCGATTGTAATTGTAATCCAATTACCACTCATTGAAACAGTAACTGTAACGGAATACAGTTACTCATAATTTTTTTAGTATGTAACGCCGGTACATGTAATCCTTTACTCCCCAACACTGTTCCAGTAAATTGATCTGATCTGTAACTTGACTTAGTGGTGCCACCTGATTGTCTCTATGGAGAGGTTATTGCTTTGCCTGAAATATTCCGCAATATGGCTTTAAAATATCTATGTCCATGAAGACAAGAAGGTGGCGCAACCAGGTTAAGTTAAAAGTCAGGTCTGTGGAGAGGGGAGCACACTTTACAAGGTCATTTTGAGCACTAAAATGTAAAACCTGTAATGAAACAGCTGCAACATAAATGTTTAATGCCACAGTGTGAAACATTTCAGGCAAAATAATAACAACTTGAAGACAGTCAGATAGCAGACCTTCCACCAGAAAAGTTCCACAGTGCATCTTTAATACCACAAGTTAACAAAAGCAGACTTCTCCACATTGTCTCTTGAAAGTCGTGTGTGTGGGTGAGGGCTGAAAATACCACATCTCACCTGAAAAGACTGGAGGAAAGAGTTGAAGTAGATGAAGACGATCTGAGAGATGTCGTCCTCCCCCGGATTGACGAAGAAGAGCATGTAGGTGATGCCCAGAAGAGGAAGCAGCACCAGCGTGGCCTTCACAGCTTTTCTGAGAAAGTTACACCACAAACACCAGAATAAGAACCACTCCCACGTGCAAGTGTGTAAATCTATGAGAGCTGCCAGGACGGGCCGGCGGGGTGAAGAAACTTATTGGATGTTTAATTGGGAATGATATCAAAAAGGCCTCAGTGTTAGCGTCATTACTTCCTGTCACTACATCCATATGCTGGGGGGTTCTACATGTATCTATATGGTGAAATATTCAACAGTTACATCAGTTACCATGGTGACACAGCGCACATTAGAAAATACTGCCAAAAAAGTGTTAAGAAAAATGCATAATGGATTTAAACAACACATTTTCAGTAGCCTGTGATCAGTATGAGCGTTCATATTTAGGTGTTTAAAACCAACTTTAATCACTGTGGAAAAAAACTTGTTTTGCAGTTAATAGTTAGAGCAAAACCGGTGTGTGTGTGTGCAGAGCTGCAGCTGGAGGCCCTGTCCACACTAGTTGGTATTCGAGTCGTTTTCGTTGCAGATGCAGTGTTCGTCCACACTAATCTGATTGAAAACGGCTCCGGAGACGGAATGATCTGAAATTCATTTGAGTAGGAATCTGATTTGGCAACTGTGTGGACGCTTGAAAATGTTGACACGCTGATACACTTATAATTCAACACCAAAACACTAAGAGGCTAGAATATGTGTCCATTTATATATACGGTCTATACATACAACCTGCAGTAAGTTTAACATGAACCATCTCCAACGCGATAGAAGCACAGAACAGACTCACCATCAGCAGAACACCCCTCTGTCACAGAAAGAACACACATAATCCACTGAGTCGTGTCCTTTAGTCCGACAGAAGCTGAACCTCATCAGCGCACAAGGAACGAACTGTTTTGTCTGTTTTGAGCACTCAGTTTATGCAAATTAGCCATGCGGTTTTACGTTTCTGTAAAATGTAAACAAATATGCTCAAAGCTGTGTGGACAGGGAAGGCTTGCGGACACAGAAACGACGTGACTGGACGCAGATCATTTCTGATACTGTGATACAGCGATTTGTTTCAGTGTCTTAGATGGATGAGATTAGGGCTGGGTATCATTAAGAAGTTGCCGATACAATACATACCTCGATACATAGGCCACAATACGATATATATCTCGATACAGTGCACTTTAGGTTTGATGCGGTAAATTTCAAATCGATTCGATACAGTTCAGTAAAAAATAATAGCTAAATCATGGCTGTGATACTAAAAGTCTTTGTTAAACCACTTCTTGTGCAAAGTGAATATGAAACACAAACATTTTAATTGAGAATGAAGAAAGTTATCGGATGTGTAATTGGGACTGATATCAAGAAGGCCACACTGTTAGCGTAACTATTTCCTGTCCAGTTGATACTTTGCAGTGACATCCATATGCTGGGGGGATGTATCTATATCAGGGGTCTCCAACCTTTTTCCTTCTGTGAGCTACTTTTTGTAAAAAGAAAATGCCAGAGAGCTACTAAGTTTTGGGGTCACCAGAAGTTTAGTAAATAAGAGCCATGGTACGCCGAAGATGAGGTAGAGTTAGATATATAAAACATATCCCACTATCCAGTTATCAGCACAAAATTAGGCATAAAAATTATACATTTACAAAGGAAATAGGAATTCAATCAATCAAATTTGGGTTATTCAGCCCAATATGTATAATACAGAAATCCCTTGGCGAGCCACTTGGAAAGAGGTGGAGAGTTACTGGTTGGAGACTCCTGATCTATACAATGAAATATTCAACAGTTACTTCAGTTACCATGGTGATACACAGGGTAGCCACGGGGTCTTAAAAAGCTCTTCAATTTCATGTTCCTAATATAAATTAAGGCCTTAAAAAGTCTTAAATTATGTTGTCCAACTCTTATTTTTACCTGGTCCCTGAAGGGTTGACCAGGTTTTGTATTCACCCTGTGTGTGTGTGTGTGTGTGTGTGTGTCGGTCCACCCACAATAATTCCACCATTTATGGACCGATTGTCCTTAAATTTGGTACAAAAGTCAAGCCCCCTTGTCTAATGCCACAAAAAAAGTTTGGTGACAATCCGAGGTCATTTGAGGTCACACAAGTCAATTGAAAGGTCACGCCATTATAAAGGATAAAAGCAATTTCTTCAATTTCTGAACCATTTGCGGCCTAAAATATTCACTCAATCATCACACAAGTTGGCACACACACATAACCGATGTACACTGGATGTTACAGGTTGAAACCAGTCA